GCATCGGCCAGCGGCTAGGTGACCTTTGGTGGAGTTTGCCTCTCCAGGGGTTCTTGGTCAGGTAAGGGTTACACTAGGTGGCCACTGAGGTCCCTTCCAACTCAGAGAGTCTGACCTCAGAGGACCTAGGTTCGAATCCAGACTCCACACACAGCCTGTGTGATTTGGGGCAAATCATGCGCCTCTCTTAGCCTCAATCCCTTCACATGAACTCTAAGAAGACGCTCAGAATGACTCCTCCCAGTCCAGGACCGTGACTCCGTATCGAGGAGGCGCACATAGCCACTTCTGGGTTCTGGGAAGCCAACCTTCTCACCCTCACAAACTTCCTCCAGCACATTTAGCTGACGCCCAACTTCCCTGTTCCTTGGCCAGCCAGTGACATGAGGCTTCCTTTATCTGAGGCATTGAAAACACCAACACCTGGCATCCCTAATTTAGGGCCATTAACAACAATTGGAACTATTAGCTTTGGCTTGAGTTCTTTAACAAACACTCTGCTCAGTCAGGAAGGGGTTCTGGGAAATTCCTTTGCCTTTCAGAGTCAGGGAAGCAAACACTTCCTAACAGACCCCTAGGAACACAGTTCAGGGCTGGCAGCATGTCTGTTCCCAAGGGGCTGCTTCGAAGGGTTGAGTGCCTCGGTTTCTCCTGGCACGGCCTTTGAGAGCCAGGCAGTGAAAGCTTGGAGGAAGCCTCCTCCTCAGCCAGCCTGTGCGGAGGCCTTCCTGACTGAGAGGTCAGCTCTCTCACCGCTACATCACACTGCCTATTGCAGTTGGCCAGTGCCCTTCCTCAAAGGAGGCTCTGAGGAATGCGCTATTCCAGATGTGCTCGGATCCAAGACCAAAAGAGTTTGGACTCAGTCACAAAATACACGAGCTGGGAGGGCCCTCAGGGACCTTCTCAACCAACCCCTTTGTTTTACAGATGAGGAAACTGAGGCCCAGAGAGGCCATAAACCCATAACTAGAAGGGCTCTTCTGTGTATTCTAACGGCCCGTCCATAGTAGGGCTTCAAGAAAGTCTTCTGATGATGAACAGGCTGATTTCAGAAAAACCTGGAAAGACTCGTGTGGTCTGATGCTGAGTGAAGTGAGCAGGACCAGGAGGACGTTGTACACAATAACAGCCACGTTGTGCGATGACTAATATTGATAAGCTTAACCCTTCCCAGCAATACAAGGATCTAAGACATCTCCAGAGGCCTCGTGAGGGAAAATGCTATCCACATCCAGAGAAAGAACTGTGGAATTTGAATGCAGATTGACACATACTGTTTGCTCTTTTTTTTTTCTTCTGTTGAGTTTTATTTCCTCTTTCTAGTGGTTCTTCCCATTGGTTCTAATTCTTATGTATGAAAATATGTTTAATAGGAATGTAAATGTATAGCCTATATTAGATTGTGTGCCGTCTTGGGGAGGGAGGTGAGGAGGAAGGGGGAGACAAATTTTAAACTCAAAAGCATATGGAAGTGATTGTTGATAAATCAAAACAAATTAATAGAAAAAGAAAGAAAGAGAAAGAAAGAAAGAGAGAGAGAGAGAGAAAGAAAGCCTTCTGGACTGATGGGTAGATGCCAAGATGGGCTGTGGGCTGGTCGTGCTGTGCAATGCTCAGTGCTATAGGAGAGGGATGGAAGGTGAAGTCATGTCAGGCTTGAGGTGAGGGCCCTGGGAGCTGGGCTGTGGAATGTTCCCTAAGGGCTGAAACAGGCAAATTTCCCCAGGCTAGGGCTGGCCCTGGGGTCAATAAAACCTGAGTTCCAATCAAGGCCCAGACACTTAGTAACTGTGTGACTCTGGGCAAGCCACTTGACTTTGGTTGCCTCTCTGTAAAAGGAGCTGGAGAAGGAAGTGGCAAAACACCCTGGGATCTTTGCCAAGAAAACCCCAAAGGGGGTCACGCAGAGTCAGACACCACTGAACAATAAAAGGGAGGGGGAACCAGCAAGCTGCTCCTGGCTGCCAGGGCTAAGCAAGGGACGGGCAATTCTGCTCGTCTGAGAGTGCAGGTCCAAAACACCCCCCAAGCTCGCAAGGCGCTTTACAGTTTGCACAGAGACTGAACAAGCTTGCCTTTGACCCGCAGAGCCCTCTGGGAGCTGGTGGGGCAGTGAATATCACTGCATTGTACAGACCAGGAAGCTAACACGCAGAAAGGTTACAAAGCTTCCGGCATGCACAGCTGCTATTAATAGACCCATAAACGACTGTTTTAGGCTGGATTACACCCAGCCCCTAATTGACAGAGGAGGAAACTGAGGCTCAGAGGGGGCTATGACTTGCCCAGGGTCACATACTTAGTGTCTGAGGCAGGATTTGAACTCAGGTTCTAAGTCTGGCATTCTGTCCATTACAGGTCACTGGTTCTGGATTCAAAGCAGAACTTCATCGACTGGCCTCTTACCCTTTGGAAGCTCCTTCAGAGAAGGGGCCTCCTTCAATAGGAGGGGGAGGGAAAGTAGGATGGACCTCAAGAAGGGGTGGCCTCGGGTGGTATTGGACCTGGAGCTTCTGCCTAATCACTGCGAGGCTGAAAGTTGGCTCTGTGTTCAACTTAAACTGCTAAGTGAGCCTGAGGATAACCCCGTGTCTGAATGCCTATCCCTTCTCTGAAATAAGGGAAGAAAATGCTTGATAATTATGGCTCCTGTTTTTCTAAACACTTTCCTTACAACTACCCTGTGTGGCAAGCAGGGCAAAGCTTTTTCCCCCATTTTACAGATGTAAAAACTGAGGCCCAGAGAATACTGGGAAAGACAAAGTAACCCAGTGGTCCTGAATCCCATTTCTGCCACTGACTATCTGTGTGTGCTTGGGCACAGGACTTCACTGTTATAGAATTCAGCTCCTTCATCCCAAAAATGAGAGGGTTGACTTGTCAATCGATTGCTCTACTAACAAGCATTTATTAAGCAGTTACTGTGTGCCAGGTACTGTGCTAAGCACTTTTCACAATTATTCTCTTATTCAATCCTGATAATAACCTTGGGAAGGAGGTGCTATTATTACCCCCATTTTACAGCTGAGGAAACTGAGGCAGACAGAGGTTAAGTGACTCGCCCAGGGTCACACAGCAGACAGACATCTGAGGTAGGGTTTGAACTCAAGGTCAGGCCCATTGCTCTGTCTACACATGGGATGAGCCATAAAGATTAATGGCTTCTGCCCCAGGAATCATGTAAAATGGCTTCTGACTGGAAGGCCCTGGGGAGCAGGAGCCATTCCAGACCTAATCTGTGTCTTGAGGGACCTAGAGCACAGGGAAAGGCTCTCTGACCCAGTTTCCATTTGAACATACCCTTCAGTCACTCCCCTCCCCTCCCCTCCATCTAGTTTAATTTCCATCCGTCAGTAATTCACTCCTGCCCCAGGACAGCAGATCAGGGAATAAAGGGAGAGTAGGAACTGGAGGTGAGGTTCCCTGAGGCCTGGGGTCACCACCTGGTCTGTCCCTCTGCTGGCCTCCCCTTCGAAAAGCACTTTTCAAAGTTAAATTTTCTCCCCTTCTCATTTTCTCCACCCCCGGAAAAAAAGGAAAGACGAAAAGAAAAAGAAGGGGGAATGCCTTAGAACAAACATGCAAAGGCAAGCCAGACACATTCCCTCCTTGGCCACGTCCAAAAGTGCCCATCACACCCTGCTCCCAGCGTCCATCCCTCTGTCTGGAGGCAGGCACCAGCCTTCTTCCTCAGCCATTAATCCTCTGGACACAGGGCTGGCCATTGCATTGCTCTGAGCTCTTTCGGGGTGGGGAACATTGAGCCTCCCTGAGCCGCACTCGAGGACCTAGAGGGCCGCATGTGGCCTCAAGGCCGCAGGTTCCCCACCCCCCCCTTAAGTCTTTCCAAAGCGTTTATCATTGTTGTCGTATAAATTGTCTTCGTGATTCCTCATAGGTATTATTATCATTCCCATTTGGCCAATGAGAAAATTAAGGCTGAGAGCCATCTGCCCAGAGTCATACAGTGAGTAAGTGTTACAGCAGGGTTACTACTACTACTACTAATAGCTCATGTTTACAGAGTGCTTACTGTGTGCTAAGTGCTTCACAAATATTATCTCATTTGATTCTTACCACAACCCTGGGTGGTAGATGCTATGATGATCCTAATTTTACAGATGAGGAAACTGAGGTAAGCAGAAGTTAAGTGACTGGCCCAGGGTCACGCAACTATTAGGTGTCAGAGGAAGGGTTATGATAATATTAAGAACTAACATTTACACCGTACTGTACTCTGTGCCAAGCACTGTGCTAAGTGTTTTACCATGACTGTCTCCTTTGATCCTCACCACAACCCTGGGAGATAGGTGCTATTATTAGCTAGTATTATCATTCCCATTTTATAGTTGAAGAAACTGAGGCAAGCAGAGGTTAAGTGACTGGCCCAGGGTCACACGGAGAGTAAGTGCCTGAGGAGGGATTCTCCTGGTGATCTTGAAGTCCCGGGACACCTTCAAATCCTATTCCCGCCATTACCAGCTTTGTGACCTTTCCTACCGTCCATCACCGCTCCGAGCCTCGGTTTCTTCGTCTGTAAAATGGGGATAAAAATGACCCGCGCACTCTGCAGGCTCCATCGGCTGACTCTGTGAATGTCAGTGATACTAATTAAAGCCCGGGTCAGTTTCAGGGCCGGTGGGGGGGGGACTGGGGAGTGCTCTAGGAGGGAGCCAAGAAGAGGCAGCAGAGGAGCAGGAAGAAGGGAGAGAAAAGGGCAGAGGTAAGGAGGAAAAGAAGAGGAAAACAGGGTGGAGAGAAAAGGAGGGAAAGATAAGTGCAAAGGAGGGAAGGAAAGAGAGAAAGAAAAAGAGAAGGGCTGGAGAAGAAGAAGAAGAAGGGCGGCAGAGAAGGCAGGGAGGCGAGCGCGGTCCCTTTAAGGCGCCGCGGGTGAGCTCAGCTCAGCCGGCCCCGCCCCTCGGAAGCTCCTCCTCTCCCTCGTCCCCCCTCCCATCCCCCGGCGGCGGCGGCGGCGGCGGCGGCGGCGGCGGCGGCGGCGGGCGGCGGCCCAGTGCGCCTGCGCGCCTCTTCAGCGGCTCCCGGCGCTGTTCCAGTCATCTCGGCCCCGGCGGCTGCACAGGCACCAGAGGGACTCGGGCTCCAGCCGCCGCCGCCGCCTCTACGGCCCGCCATGGGCTCCTGAGGTAACTGCCGCCCCTCACCCGGCGGAGCCGGCAGGGAGAGCGAGGGAGGGCGGGCCCTTGGGGCCGGAGGGCTGGGGGGCCGAGGGGGGCGGGGCCGGGAGGAAGAGGAGGAGGTGTGCCCCCCGCCCTCCTGGCCGATCTCGCTCCGTTCTAATCCCCCCCCCCGCCCTGTCCCGCCCGCTCCGCTCTAATCCCCCCGCCCTCTCCCGCCCGCTCCGTTCTAATCCCCCGCCCCTCCCCGTTCGCTGCTGGGGAGCCCCGGGCTGCTCTGGGGCTGTGGGTGCACCGATCCTCTCCCCCCCACACCAAGGGCGCGACGTGGCGTGGCGTGATGGTCCATCCCCTTGTGCCATTGGACCTCCCGGTGGAGGTGTCCTGAGGACTGAGTGATGGGGAGGGGGGGCGGGGTAATTGTGAGGGTGGGGGAGGGAGGGATCCTTGCAAAGAGGGGTGGGTGGGTATGCATGAGCCCAGGCTTGGTATCCAGGGCTGAGGTACCCGAGGTTCAGGGGTGGAAGAGGGCTTGGAGGTCTTCAGACCCGATTCACCAGCCCCATTGTGCAGATAGGGAAACTGAGGTCTAGAGAAGATGACTTGTGACTTACGCCAGCTAGGAGGTTCGGGCTTGTACATGAGAGAGTTGGAGGTCGGGACCTCTGAGGCCATCTAGCCCACCCGCCCACCCACGGACGGGAGAACTGAGGAGGTTTAGTGAGTGACTTGCTGAAGGTCACACAGGTGTCAGAAGTGGGATTTGAACCCAGATCTTACAACTCCCGCGCCGTGATGCCCTGCTTGGACCTCCAGACCCTAAATCCAGGGCTGTTTCCGCTCTTCTGGAGTGCAGTCTGTATGCAGGGGTGATAGTGGCTTCCTGAATGTACTATCTCATATGGTTATCACAACTACCCTGCAAAATCAGCCCTGTAGTTGTTATAGAATCCCGCTCGACAGATGAGGAAACTGAGGTTTAGAGGTTAAGTGATTGCTGAATCTATAGTCACACAGCTAGTGAGGGTTCCAGTGGGGATTTCAGCCCCCGTCTCTTCCAGTCCAATCCCATTATTCTCCAGTGAAGCCTCAGAGATAGCCATGGGGCACACACTTTGGTTCCTGAATCTTTTATTAAGTGTCTACTGTATACCCCATAATCGCTGTGCTAGGCCTGGCACCCGATTGTAGGTAAAAGGTGTCGACACCCCTCCCCACCCCCAGTGGTCCCTTATGGCCCATAGCCATATGGGGAGGGGGGGAGAGACCCTTTAGACCTAGATCAACTCTTGGGGGGCCTACCTTGGAGGCCCCAAGAGGAAAAAGTCCTTCTCTTGCTTACCATAACCCTCCTTGCTTGTGTGAAAGAGTAATTTTTGTGGTGGGATCCTTCCAGTGGTGGGTGGGGAGGTAGGGAATCACGGTGACTCCCATGTATATGACTCCGGCTCAGGTCCTTGCTCTGTGTAGGATCATGAGTGAGTTCCTTATCATGCCAGGAGGCCTCAGTTTCCTCCTTCTAAGTATTTTAAAAGCTGGGATTAAAAATAGATTTTCTATTTTAAAAGACATTGCACACTTACATAAGCTGAACAGCTTTCCCCATGATGTTTTAATTCAGATCCTTGGCATGAAAGATGATATTAATATTCACTATTTGATTTTGTTTTGGGGTGGGGATATGTGAAATGCTAGGGAGTTTGGTAGTCTTTGATAAATCTGTCTCTCTAGCTGAGCTTGGTCTGCCCGGCTCAGCGCACAGCAGTGTACCCCCCATGCATGTCTTGGCTGCTCATGAGGGGGCCCAGGTGTAGACTGGAGCCTGCCTTCCTAGCTCTGGGGCTTGGGGAAAGATGGGTGTGGATGGGAGGGGCTCCCTGCCTGTTTGGATGCCCTGCTTCACTAGAAATGCCGACCTCTGGGTAGTGAGGGGAAGGGACAGGGAATGCATCCCCTTCTGTGGGCTTAGGGACAGCTGAGGGAGGGCGGCATGGGTGGTACTCGGGTGCCAGGTGAGATAATCCGTTATTGATCAGATGGGCCCTGGCTGTGTGCTTTAGCAGTCAGAGGAGAGAGAGAGAGAGAGAGAGAGGAGAGAGAGAGAGAGAGAGAGAGAGAGAGAGAGAGAGTGTGTGTGTGTGTGTGTGTGTGTGTGTGTGTGTGTGTGTGTCCCCAGGGGCCGGGATCTAGGGAGCCAGACAGCTAAGCTCACTCTGCACCTGCCAAGTGGTGGCTTGGTCTCAGAGGGAAGGTCTCTGGCACCTGGTGTTTATAGCTTCTCTTCAAGCTGCCTGCTTTGTCCCTTTTCAGTCCCTCTCTTTTCATTGAATTGGACATTTTCAGCACTCAAGGGTTGTCCAGCCCAACCCTTATTTTACAGATGAAGACACTGAGGCCTGGAGAGGTGGTGGTCCATCAATGGAAGGGTGGTGCCTGGGGCAGAAAAGCTAACTAAGAGGAGAGGTGAGATCAGAAACTAGGGCTCCTGGCTCTAAGCCTAGTACTGTTTTCACTTGACTTGGCTGCGCTGAAGGGGGACCGTGTCACAAATAAATTCGTGATGTGGGGAAGTCTTGGCCAAGGCTACGGGGTGGGGTCTGCATGGCTCCATGACCCGTGGAGTATGTCGTTTGGGAGAGAAGTCAGTGAGGGATGTGTGTGTAAGGACTGCCGTAGGCCAAGGGCACTTGGAAGGCCCAGCTGGTGGGAAAGCCAGCCTCCCCTGCGAGTCCCCCTCCTGAGTGCGCGTTTTCTTGGAACTAAGATGGGAATGATGATGGCGCCTGTGCTGCCTGCCTCTCTCAGTGGGATGAAATCGGAGTTATTGGTAATGATAATTTGCCTCTTTCAGTCTCCTAGCAGTCCTGGGTGGGCTGGAGGCTCTTTTTTTTTTTTTTTTTTTCGAGGAGTCCTTTTCTATGGATCTGTTGGATGGAAAGACCTTGAAAGACTGAGGCTTACTGGAGGCGGTTTACTTTTAGCCTCTTATCTAAGAGGAGGTGCCCCTTATGGCCTGAAGAGGCTTCCCTCCAGTTTTGCCTTCGATCCCTTTTTAAAAGATAATAGGGTTGGTTTGGTTTTTTTTTTTTAATATCATCTAGATCCCTCCCTGTATGTCTCTCCCCTCTCAGAGACCTGTCTCTTGTAACAACTTTTTTTTGAGAGGCAGAGAAAGCAACAAGCAAAGACAGCCTGTTTTAGGAAATCTGCTGTGGTCTACAGGGATGCACCCCCCGGGCCCCCACCTCAGGAAGGGACCAGGTCGAGGGGGCTTCTCCTCCTTGGAGCATGTTTGTGATCCTCCATGCTGTGGAGTCCCTGGGGTAGAAATGGGCACCAAGAAGGGAGGGCCAGGCTGCTGACTGTTTGGAAACCTAAATAACAGCAGTGCCCTCCTTCCACAAAATCCTGTAGTTTGTGGCGTCCTAAGCTCCTGGAGGTGAAGGACTGGTCTCTTGACCACCTCTGTGCAGCCTTGAAAGGGCCTCCCACGTCCCACGTGCTTACCAGACAGTTCATTTGGCAAATGGGGATTTTTAGAAGCCTTTTATCGCTGCTTTTGCTTTATGGGGATGTCAGTTCCCAGTGATTCGGCACCTGGTAGAACTCTCTTTGGCAACAGATCCCTCCTCTGGCTAAGTCATTTCACACGGTAGGTGCCCTCGCCCTGTGGAGAGGGAGGAGGCGGCTCCCCTGGGCAGCTGAGCTGGCCAGAGGCCCGAGCTCTTTCAGTCTGCTTTTCCTCCACGTTCCGGTGGTCTCTGCACATTGTTCTTGCTCTGCATCTGTTCATATGGGCCTTTCCAACTTTCCCCTGATCCTTCAGGTTTTACTGTTTCTTCTGGTACATCCTCCTGGGGTCATCAGCCAGCCAGAATTTATTAAGCATAGACTTTGTTCCAGGTACTTGATAAGCCCTGGGAATACCAGGATACCCAGTGAAAGGACAAGTGTAAACCCTGGAGTTTACAGATTAAGGGAAAGATAAGCAGGTCCTTGAACTCAGTTTATTTGGCCATTCTCCAGATAATGGGCACTCATCACACAGTGGATAATAGAAGTGGTTCTATAAATGTGTTTCTGACCTCCTCCTCCTCCTCCTCTTCCCCCTTCCTCCCTCCCTCTTCCCCCCCCTTCCATCTTCATGCCTAATAGTGGCATCCTCGGGTCAGAGGGGACACACAGCTTCATGACTTTTCGAGTAGTGTTCCAAGTGGTCCAGTTCACAGCCCGCTCTCTCATAGCTCCTCCAGCAATTGTCATCTTCCATTTCTGTCATCTTTACTAATCTGACGGCCTGGTGCCATTTGGATTTGCATTTCTCTTATTATTCATTTGGAGCACACTGGTATATGCTTGCTGTCCTTTGAGTACTTACCTATAGGGGAATGGCTCTTGGACGTTTTCTACCCCCACGTGCCGGCCTCTGCAGTGACTCCATCCTTCAGAGTGCAGGCCACACGTGGGAGGAGCTGGGCCATTTGACTCTTCACACCCATGCTGCCCACCGGTGACCACTGTCTCCCAGGTTACTACTACTCCAGCAATCCTCAGACGGGGCGTCTGAAGGTACGCCCTTGTTTGGCTCCCAGACCTGAGCTCCTGTGCCCTGGCCACCTTCCCCTTTATGGGTTGTGAGCTCTTTGAAGGCAGCAACCAGGGTTTTTGCCTTTCTTTGTATCCTTGGTGCTCAGCACATCGTAAGCACTTAATAAAAGCTTTTTCCTTCATTCCTTCATTCCTTCACGAATCCAGTAAGACGTCTTCCCCTTCCTTCCCATGCCGCTTTTCTTAGCTCACTCTTCAGTAAGTAAGAGGTGACTGAGGGGCCCCGTGCCAGGCATGGAGGGCATACTGGGTGGTGGGCAGCCATTGGTCTTTTCGGGGGGGCAGCATCCTGCTACTTGTTGCTTTGACACCCTTCCTCCATCTCCGGTCCCAAAGAATGCTGTACTGCGAGTATTTGTTTTGAGGGATTGAAGTTAATCTTGCTTAGAAAAATGTTCTCT